CGTTATGAAACAGTATTAACAGCAATAATGTTTCTGCAAATGTTTAAGTTTACTACTGCTATATCTGATTACCTACAAACATCCGGTCTAGATTATATTCCAACATGGAGAAAAGTTAATGAAACAATAAAGTCGTTAAAAGAAAACCAAAGAGAATTTGTACTAGTTAGTGCAGGAGCAAAAATATTGATTGAATTTGTATCCAATATAATTTCGGATGAGTCAGACATTGATATAGAATTAGAGCTTCCTGAAAAGAAAAGAAAAACTATTCCAAAACATTATGGAAAAAATTCAAGTACTAATCAAAGCATAGGAGATAGAGATACTCCCAAAAATGTTTATAAAATCAAAACATTTAACGTAGTTATGGTTTTAACGTTAACGTTAATATTAATGTTAACGTATTATGTAGATTTTCGGGCAGTAAAGAACTTGATTGTGATCTTGAACTATTTGATCCAAAAAGGTTTGAAAAAATTCCGAAAAAAATGGAATACACTCTGAAGCTATTTATAAAATTTGTGAACTTTTACCTCATATCGATAAACATAAATTAGGGGAACAATTATTATCGTTTGTGAAAATTTGGCCTCAAATATTTGATACTATTTAAAAACTTTGGCATTTAAAATTCGCCGAATGGTCACACACGAGCAGAGAACGCCTGAGGGAAGAAATGAAGTACATTAGAATAAAGGAGAATTATTTTTTGAACAAAGCATATTTTGATAAAATATGCTTTGTTTAAAATTATTCTATTCTTTATTGTTGTCAAGACAAAAATAAAGATTAATAGGGGAATATTTAAAAATAAATAAGACAGACAATGCACCTAAAACAATACTTAATAATAATAATAATAATAAAATTGTTTTATAAACACTAATATTAATGAAGATATACAACAAATATATCACTAGACAAAAAACTTATAAAACACAAAATTGATTACAAAATAAAATGTATGCTAACAACAATGGACGGCCTCAGAATGAAAAAAAAAAACATTAACGCTAATGTGTAAACATAATTTGTGTAGTGATTAAGTAATAAACATCTCCTCAGAGTCGCGTCTATTATAACTGGCATTTCGATGAGGATCAGCATTATAAGTAGTTTATCCTGTCAGACAAACGTCATCGCCACTTATTCTTTACCCCTTATAAAGACTTTATTAAGACTTACGCCTAATCCATACTGCAGTAAAAAAGGACTCACTATAAAAAGCCAAAACCCAACCATACCCAAATTTGTAAAACACTAATATTTTTTTAATGATATGATATAAAAACTGTAGATCTGCTGTACAATATAAATAAAAATAACTAAATAAATCACTTACCATACCACCGAAAGAAAACATGAAAACACAATAAATTAAAATTCTAATAGAAACATAAAAATACTAACAAATTTATTTTAAAATATAAAACCAAATAGGTATTATTAGCCCAAGATAATCAGAAAGCAGTATAACTCATTATAAAAAAAATTTAAAATCAACAAAACAACAGCCTTAAATAAACTCTAACGCTGTCTGTAATGGAAGGTCTTAGAATGGAAAAAAAAAATATTGATGCTAATGTGTAAACATAATTAAGCCTACTGAATAAAAATGTAAATTATATTATTGAAATACATTAAATAAAAACTAAAAAAAAAAAAAGTTGCACATTTGAAATGTTCGGTCATGTCAAAAAAGGTTTCATGATTTATTTGATTTCAGATGTTTAGCTAGAATAGCTTTTGTTACCAAGGAGATTTTCGAAAGCAGCTGACAATCGCTGTTGAAGAAAAGAGGATATAAAAATATTTATAAAGCCGTTTATTAATTCTGCCTGAAAGAATTTGAAATATTTTTTAGCTTTCTTTTATTTAGATGCAGTTTTTAACTCGAGTCAAAAAAACTTCTTTATTGAAACTTAATTGAAGTGCCCACCTTAAGTTGAAGTGCCCACCTTAAGTTGAAGTGCCCACCTTAAAGCTGTTTCATTACGCTCAGTATTTCGGTATAAAATATTTGGACAAAATTTTTTCATAAATTGATTTTGTTTTCATAATTACAAGTCATCAATCAACTGTGATTGTTAAAGAGAGAAGTCAAATGTATTGCTTACCATACAATTGCCATAAAACGTATATTTAGAAAATGTCACACAGATATATGTATTTCACATTTAAAATACATGTATTCATATTCAAAATACATGATATATTTATTTCATATAAATTCATATGTATTTGTTTCATCAGATGCTCAGAAACAAGAGGTCCGAGGTACAATGCTAGCTCGCGCCTAATAAGATTTCAACATTATTTATATTATTTTTTTCTATTTAATTTATTTATTTGTTTCATCTTTCTTTTCATAGCATTCAATATTCATCGGTTGATATAATTGTTAGTTTTTATTTTATTTTTTATTTTTTTCGGATATTTTTTTGAAAAAAAAAGAAAAAACGTTAAAAAGTCATCCTAAATTAGCTGATCAGTTAATTTTCTAAAATTTATCAAATAGTTTTGTAACTTATTAACTATTTTTTTAAAACAATTTTAAAATTAAATAAAATAATAAATTTTTAGTAGTTCTATTTGGATTGAAGGCAATTGAGCAAGAATAAAATGAGAATAGGAATAAAATAAGTGAGACAAATCCTGAAATAGTGCCGACTGTTTTCTTAAAAAAAAAGTCCTCAAAACTAAAAATCACTTGAATGAAAAATTACAAGCGCCTAATTAACCTTATACTTTCCTCAAAAAACCAACTATCACTTGAAAATCCCCTTCTTTGGAAGGTATCTCACCCTCACCCTTATTCATAGAATAGCCCCTGTCATCGAGTTTATTACAGGATTGCAAAAATTGCAGAAAAATTATTAAAAGGATGAGTTTTATCTACATGCCATTGAGTGTGTCGCGACGCAATACATATGGTGTCTTTGTTGTTTAACATATATAGTATCTTAGCTGTTCAATTTTTAAAACTTAAAGTTGCTATGATTTTCAGAATTATAGTAATACAATAAAATAATAAATTCAATTAATTTCTAATTATTATTTGATGAAGTTTTTTAATTTACATTACTTATTATTACTTATTATTACAATATTATAAATACTGCATATTAAATATTTTTTTTTACAATATTCTAAACTTTTTCTTCTAGAACGTGTTCTAACTGCGTAATATATAGTGACGGATTATGACGAGTCTAAGCATTTCATTAACTTACACGTCAGAATGGTGCACAAAAAAAACTAAAACAAAACAAAACAACAACAACAACAAAATTCTTAGTAAATTACTTTGTACAACTTTTATTAAGAATTTTTTTTTCTAAACAAATTTTTTATATTTAGCTAGTGCATAAAAAAATGTCAATTTTTATACAAAGTTTTACGTATGCATGTAGAACGTCTATAAATATAGATGCATCTATAAAATGTAAAATCATTTTTTACAACGTTGTTTGACTACGTTATTGCGTTTTGTTTGTTTGTTAAATGCTCTTCCGCGGTGCTCTGTGGTAAGACCCAAAGGACTTTTGGTAGCAACTAATAAAAAAACAAACTTAAAAAAACAAAAACAAGTACAACAACAACAACAACAAAAGATGTTTGGACACATTTGAAATACTGATACTGGACCAATTTGTTAAACTATTTTTTTTTTAACTTTTTATCTTATTCAAATTTTTACCCTCTTTTTTACGTCTAGACACAAAAAGGAATAAACTAAAAATACGCTGATTTCACGGGCAGTTTTACTCGAGTTTAACACGTTTTTTACGAGGTTTTAAACCCAAATTTAGTTTCACATTCTTTACAAAATTTTTTGATAAATGCGTTAATATTTGTTTTTTTACTATTAATAAATGATATATTAGCTAATAAATATAATTAACATAATAAAACTAAAATGTCATTCATTAAATAATAATTACGGTTGCTATCCCCCACCATTTACCCCCTTATATACACCACCACCATTCACTAACTAACGTAACAACAACACAATACTGTTGAGATTTAACGCAATAACAGACAAAATGAGAAAGTTAAATATACTTAAATAAGTCTAGCTTAACTTTAATAAGTTAATATTTTTAACTTCTATTGTTTCAAATGGCAACCTATTCCAGAAATTGGCCGTTTCTCACGATTACGATTTAAATATTTCTTGTCAGTGTATAAATGAAACATACATCATTTTAACTACTATTTTATCTTTCATACATTTAAAATATAAATGAATAAATGAATTTTGCTTCAATGAATGAAACTTACGCACATTTAAGTTCATAATTTATATTCAAAAACATTACAAAATTTTTCAAAATAAGAAAAAATAAATAAAAAAAAAAGGAAAAAATACAGAATATACGCTTCAATGAAAAAAGTAGATGTCAATACAATAAATGCCAATTTTATAATTACTTTGCTTATTTGAATGGAAACAAATTGAAGCATGGACGAAACATGCAACTGATGCATAATACTATTATTGCCAATTTACATAAAAACGTATCTTTATTCACAATTAAATCACAGTTTAAACAAGCAATTGAACACAACACGGTTTCTAAACAGTAGTGTTTTATTTTAAAGTATGATTTTAAATTTGAAATGGTAATGTATTCTAAGGTTAAAACAGTTTACAAAAAAGTAATTTGCATAATAGCAAGTCATCTTTAATTTATTTTATGTAACTTACTAGTAGTGATACCAAAAGTTAAGTTTTTAAATTTATTTTATGTAACTTACTAGTAGTGATACCAATAGTTAAGTTTTTAAATTTATTTTATTTGTAAAGTATAACGTTAAATATTAAAATTTAACTAAAAATAATTTAATCAATTATTATTTTACTCATTTTTGATGTCAAAAATAGCTTTAGATTTATAATTTATATATTTATATAATCGTAAATTGTCGATTTCACTTTTTCTTTTGCTAATCTCTCGATTAATTTATTGTAAAATTTATCATATAGATATATTATAAAATTTATCATCTAGTAAATTTGAAAAATGAACATCACTATAGTTTTTTTTGCTCTTCTGGGATATGCGTATGCATCTTTATTTCAAGATATTCAGAGATCACTAGCCAAAAAAGTTTTAAAAGAAGTTGTTGATGAAAATTCTGATGAAATGGATGATTTTATTCGACAAGTTTTTAAAAAAGAGTTAAAAGGTTTGTTTTGTTAAATTTTTTAGATTTTTTATTTTCTATTTTGAGAACTTGAATTGTTTGTTTCTTAAAATCTCGTCAATAAATTATTTAACATCAATCCTAGTTAGTTTTGCTGAGGAATATGCTTTATCGGTTTCACATTACTCAAATTAATGAGTAAAAATTTAATTGACGGTACTAGTGAGAGTTTTACAGCGCACTTTTTTAATTGAAATTTAAACCATAAAAAATTTAATTTTTTTTTTCATATTCTGATTTACCATTTCAAATTGGCGCACGTAAATAAATTAACTTGGGAATAAGAGGGTTGTCTCCAAATTACATCACGCAATTTTTGACCTTTTTTATACCACCCCTCCCCTCGTCACAACATTTTAACTCTTTAGTAGCAACTTCCGTTTAATCCGTCACAAACCCCCCCTACCCTAAAGCGAGACGTAATTTATGGACGACCATAATTCGAAAATTCGAAAGTATTCAAATATTTTCGAAAATACACTGGGTTTTGAATGTATTTGAAAATAAACTGGGTTAATTCTATCCCGTAACCCCTACCACTTATAACTAATAACCAAAGAAAATATTTTTTAAAATACAATTTGCATATCAAAAGACTAGTTAATAATAATTTTTTTAAATTCTTTTTGGAGCAAACTGAACTCTAAAATTGGTCAAAGTTTTAAAATAACTAGTTAATGTGTAGAACCAGTTTACAGTCATGAAGTCGGGTCACAACACTTAGAGCGGAGTCGGAGTCGTTAAACAAAATCGCGACTCTGACTCCAATAGTAAAACTTCTCGGTATTGCTCGTGCATGTACAAAATATTTAACATTCAAAGTATTTTTCATATATCTTGGCAAAAAAAAACTTTTTAATTATCTTACAATATTTTTTAAAGAATTTGAATAATTTTTCAAAAATTTTGCCTTGGTGTCGGAGTAGGAACTCAAATATAACTAATCTAACTAGTCTAATATAATATAATTATTATTGTATAATAGTATATAAAATTTTTGAAACAATTTATTTTGTCAGTTAATTAACAATATATAATAATAGAACATTCTTATTTGTAAATTATCAATATTTTTGAAAAGTTAATATAAAGTATACTTAATTAATTAAAAAAGTATACTTAATTAATTAAAAAAACTTAGTTAATATAAAGTAGACTAAAAACCAAAAAATGTTAGTGAACCCAAAAAACCTAGCTTATTTACTTTTTATTTCATTTATTACTATTTAAAATTTGAAAAAAGACCATTGACAATGGTCTATTCAAAATAGTATTTCAATATGACAATAATGAAAAATTATACAATAATGACAAAATTATTATATATTAATCAATTTATCGAACAATAATTTATCAAAATAACAATGGCATTGTTGTTCCTAAATATTTTTTATTAAATTGATAAATATAGATTATAAATGCTATGATATTATCATAGCATTTATAAACTTAGTATATTATCATAATGATAATATTACATTACTTTTTCTAGAAAATGAAGAAAAAGAAATAAAACAAATATCTGAAAGTTTTGATGAAAAATTAAAAAAAAAAGTATTTCAGCAAACAGAAATTGATGAAAAGCTCAGTGAAAATGCTGATGGTGTCCATATTCTTGAGGCCATTAAAGATTTTGATGAAAAGATGAAAGTTATGGAACCTAAAGGTATGTTTTATTTCATCTCATTAAAAAATCTGATATTAAATAACATTTATTCTAAGTGTTAGAATGTCCATAATGGTGTATTTTACTTAATAGTGTGATAAAAAAATGTTTTTTTATTTTGTACTATTTTCTACAAAAATATTTTTATATTCTTTATTAAAAATACTTTTCAGTAGATGGGATGTAATAATTTTAAAAACCAGATAAAATAGATTGTTTTTAAGTTTAGAAATTCCTAGGTATATTCTATAATTTTGATGAAATGCTAATTTGAAAAATGCATCTCTATTTGACTTAACATTTTCTCACCAACATTTTTTTAAAAGTCTAAATTCTAGTAGTTTTTTTTTTCTGCAATAAACATTTTTGATAGTTTAACTCTGTATATTCAAAATTATAACTTTTTTGCTCTTTTTACAGCACATAACCACTCTTATTTTTATTGTTATTGTTGCTGTTGTTCTTATCATCTTTAAGATAGCAATTTAATGCTAATGTTTACTTATTATTATTTGAAAATTACATCAATTTATTTACCAATCATGACGCTATAACTTTGATAAGTCTACACTTAATCTGCCCACTTATTTTTGATAAATTTTATCACACTTGATTTAAAACTTTTACTTTTTATATTTTTTGTTTCTTCAGGTATTGAATTATATACCTTGAGTCCATTACAGAAAATTGATTTCTGCCCACATATATTATTTTGCACTTCTATATGAAAATTATTTGTATTTCTGGTATTATATTTATGTAAGTCACTATTCTTGCTGAACACATTCACATATATTTTATTATTCAAGTTAGTTACAACCTCATGAGCAAAATTTAAAACCTTATATATGATTTTTTGCTTGACTGATAACTATCCAACATTTCTTTACTATGTGAATACGAATCACATTTTAGAATATTCTCGTAGCTATATTCAGCAACTTATGAAGTATTGTAATATCAACTCCATTTGCATTTAAAAAAAAATGATGCACAATATTCATAATGAGGAGCCACTATTGTATTATAAATTACATTTTGTCCACTGGGTTAGATTTCTACTTATTTTTGATAGTTAACCCTACTTTTTAGATATTTTCTCAGCAGTATACTTGATATGTTCTGTAAATATTAAATTTTTATCAAATTAAATGCCCAAATACTTGACACATTCAGAGAACTTAATTTTCTTGTTATCCAAGATAACTGATTCATGTGACTTATATAATATTATATAATACTTGAATAATATTAGGTACGTGAGTAAAAATTTCACATTGTTTGAATACTATAATGTTATATATCATTATAAAGAGGATTATTACAGTATTTTAAAGGTGAAAAAAACTATCAAAATCAAACAATTGTTTTAAAAGTTATGTCGGTTTAAATACTAATTTTTTTATATATGAATTTGTTAAAGAAACTGTGGTCAAAATATTGTTTTTCTTCACTTAAATTGTCATAACTTTGTCAATTCTTATCAAAATACAAATATCTTGGTGTCAAAAGATAGGTGTAAGAGTGGGCTACAATACTTAAACTCTAACCACCGGGTGTATCGAATGAACAGAGACAAACCACCACCTTGCCCGTATGAAGCTGAACACTTTTTTCAGAAAAAAAGTTTTTTTTTAAGACATAAGCAATATAAATATACAAAAAAATTATTTTAAATTTATACTAAACCACCAAAATATATGAGAGGTGTATGTTGGCAATAGAGGTGGGTGTGGTGGTGATGGTTTGATATACCCTAATATCAAAAACGACTTGATTTTATAAATATTTACATCTTTACTAAAATGAGTAAAATTAGTATACAATATAAAATTATGTTATACAAGATCTTACGTATACAAGTGGTGTTTCTATTACAGGAGGGGCATATGCCTCCTCCCCCTGACCTAAAAAAAAATGCAATTACTGTTTTCAAAATTTTAATAATAAATAAAAAAAAAAATATATGAAATTTGAAATAATTTAAAAAATAAATTCATACCAGACAACCACCAAATATGGGAGATGAATGTAAAGCTCTTAGTAGATATGTTGATGATGCTTTAGTACTATAATATCAAAAAAAATCTAAATTCTTGAAATATCTGGTTGAATATTTAAAGTAAAACAAGAAAGAAGTAAAAAACATTCTCCACTAGATTAAAAGATACATTAATGGTGCAGCCATGGTCATAAGAGAGTTGAGTATAAGGGAGGACATATCCAAATAGGTTATGAAGGACGGGGCATTCTAATGTCCCTTCCCTCTCTAACCAAAAATTAATATTTAATTGGATAAATATTACTTAAATATACAACTACTATTGTGAAGCTATAGTTATAAGTAAATTAGCTGTAAAAAGCATGTCATCTTTATAAACAAGTATAGCAAATACCTATATTAAAGTTTTTCCTGTGATTATTACATTAACAGAAGTAAGGACCATACAGTATGGTTAATGAGCTAGACATTTTGTCAAACAAATTTCCTGCTTTAAAATAAAAATAAGTAAAATCTTAACATAAAAAAATAATAATTTTCAATTATTTTAAAGATAATTTAATATATTTTTGTCTTGGCTTTTAGTGAATAATTAAAATAGTTCATGAAACTATATTTTATTCATTTTTAATGATAGACACCTTATGAAGATAAGCCAGAGCCGTCTATCAAAAAAGTTAACAAGTCATAACATTTGCTATATAATTAGGCAAGTCACAGTACTTGCTGTATTATTAATGCAAGTTACAACACTTGCAATACATTTTTGGCAAGTCACAACACTTGTTGTATTATTTATCCAAGTCACAACACTTGCAGGCCTTGTGATGAATAAGAACTGCGCGACGCATAAGCACAACGTGATTTTTGACGTCATTAAATTCTTTTTATTTGCTTTTCATATTTATCGACATTAATTGCACCAATTTACTTAATTATCGCAAAACTACTTTAATTCATTTATGTAGAAATGTTATTATTTAAAAATGTTTTGGAATGTTTCTTTTTTTAAAATGTAAAAACATTTGTTTATTTTCTCGACATTTGTCACGTTTTGTCTATACTAAACGAATAAAAAACATTATAACTTAAATTTAAAAAAGATTATAAAATATGCTAATATTTGATTTTTTTTTTTTTAAATATGTAATTTAAAGTTTTTCAAATAATTATTTTTTCTTTTTAAAAAGTCAACGAGTAATAAACTGGAAATTTTAATATTGTACGATTAAAAACTGTGCAATAGCTAATATTTCTACAAGTGATTTTATATAATATTTATTTATTTATTTTTATTTATTTTCATAAAGCGGTTGATAAGCACAATCACTCGTATTAATAAAAAACTTAAACGAACATTTTGAATAGATTTTTAATGTTAACAAGGATTTTTATTTCTAGTAAAATAAAATAAAATCTTAGAATAAAAATCTTATAGGTATAAAAGAAATATTTCAGCGAAAAAATTATTCTTAAAAATTATTATTAAAAATTATTCGAAAAACTATTGACGTTTTATTTTTCAGCAGCTGTTCTTGAGCATGCTTCGTTGAGTTTCGGTAACTTTTAACATAAAAGCGATCGTTATTATTTAAGTAATTTTTTTGAGTTACTTTTGACAAAAATTTTAATAACTGTACTTTTTTATTGAATCAAGTAGAATATGTTTTAATATTAATCCTTTTTTTTTGTTTTATTTGCGCTCACCAATTTTTAAAATGTTTCCTCAAAATTACTCTTAAATACTTTAAATACGTCTAACAGTTAATAAATATTTTTAAATCTATGGAATAATTTTAAAACCTAACAAACCCCCGTAAAATAATTATTTAAGTTTAAAATCTAAAACTAAAAGAAAGTATTTTTGTTCAATTTTATCGACAACTTTGCTATTGCTGAATAATTTTATTAAAATGTTGGCTTAAAAGATTTAAACTTTTTTTTTAATCTGAATTTTTTCTACTTGTAAATAATGAGCATATTTAATTTTTTTTAATTCAAACTATTTCAACTGCGTGCGGTTTTTAAAATACTTTATTAAATGTTAAAATAATCGTAAATTACTTCATTAAAATTCCGCTCAAAAATATCTTTAAACAAAAAATTTTTTGCTCGACGCAAATAGCCCTAGCTACACGCAAAATCGCTCTTGGACGACGTAAAATTCACATCGCCCGACGCTTTATTGCAATAGGATAGCTCGTGCTCTAACTTTCTTTTTCATTCATTTTTTGGCGCTTGATTTTTTGTCTTTGACAAATCTCATCTGTTACTTTTCATCGATGTAGTCGATTTGTAAATCTGTTTTTACATACTACATTAATTGACCCTTTAACAATCTTTTCCCTTAAACTTACATCTAGAGTGTCTAGATAGTCGACAGTCCTATTCTTTTTTATCTTAATTTGCAAGAGATATAACAAATTGTTGCATTAGGAGCCCGCACTTATGCATCACTAAACTTACTTATTAATTCCTCACTATATATATTGTGAAGCCTTGCACTAGCTGTTTTCTCTTTAAACGTCTCCGTCACAGTAAGTGAAGTTGATAGTAAATGACTAAATACTAAAATATTAAATCATATTATAGGCATATAACTGACTGACCCTCTCTAAAGCAACTTCATCTAAACAAAAATTAAATAAACTTTATTTTTACAAAGTAATATAAAAATTTGCATATAGTAAATCATATATATATATATATATATATATATATATATATATATATATATATATATATATATATATATATATATATATATATATATATATATATATATATATATATATATATATATATATATATATATATATATATAATAACCAGGCTTTCCCAGGAAAGGCGTGCGGTCGCACGCCTTGTTTGTCCACGCATAGAATAAATTTTTCAGAAAACGTGACCGCGGTAATATTTCGTGGGAAAGCGAAATTTTTCCACAGAGAATAAAAAATAATATTAAAAAAAGGAAACGAAGTCTAAACAAAGTATAAAATTGAAATTGGATGTAAGAAAAATATTTTAATAATAAAAAAAAAATTCAAAAAAAAAAATTCTTGTAACAAAAAAAAAAAAAGCCTTGAACATTTTGTTCAAAATTTTTATACTGTTTTTTTTTTTTTTTTTTAGGGTTGCTATTTTCAGCTACGAAATTTGATACAAGTCAAGGAAAAGACGACTATAAGTTATTAAGTTTTCATGAACATAAAAAGACTTGATACGTAATTTATTCGCGAACTTTATCAGACAACGTATTAAAAAACTGATTCAAAATTTACGCTAGACAAATTTAGTTAAATTTTTTAATTTAATTTAGTTTTTACAAAGGTTTATGCAAAGGCGATGACGTTATTCTCCAAGAAAATAAATTACTGTTTTAATTATTAGATATATTATTTGAGATTTTAAACATAACAAAACTTTAATGTGAAAAAAGTTCTCTCGACTTATTCTCAACCGATTATACTGAGTCAATGCTCGCCTTTTATTACGTTGAAATTATTCAATTGCATAATTTTGTAATTATGAAAGAAGTTAAAAAAATAACTGCATTGCTTCTGTTGTCATTGTTACGAAAACAGTTCCTTCGGGACATTATTATATATTAACACTTGTTAACAATGTCAATTAATGATTGCAAAATAAAATAAACTCAATCGTTTGACAATAAAATTTTCTTTCATTTGAAAATAAAAAAAAACATATTTTACAAATAAATAGCAATTGTTTTCGCGCTTTCATTTAAACATTTAAATGTATTTACGAAACATTTAAAAATTGTTTATAGATCTATCGTGAATTTTAAAGTATTACTGACTGATAAAAGTCATAAACAAATTTTACATTAAAAGGTCCTTTTATTTTCATTAAATAACCTTTTTTTTTCGATTTTCTTTTTCTTATTGATTTGATTTTTCATAGCTAAAATAACTACCACACTAAAAAAAATATATATATAAATAAATAAAATATAGGTAAATTTTTTTTAATAATAAGCATTAATTTTTTAATTTTAAAGCACAAACGGATTTCTGTTATTTACTTTAAGATTGCTTGCATTTTAGCGGTATTTTCGTTTAACTTTGTTTTAGCGCGAATTTTTGAAACGCATAATAACAAAACGTGGTCAGTTAGTCAGAAAAATTTATTTTATGCGTGGACAAACAAGGCGTGCGACCGCACGCCTTTCCTGGGAAAGCCTGATAATAACTAACTGATGTTGTCGGCTGACGCCATTTCACTACAACTTTGAGCATCTAAAACAGCAAAAGAAATATTTAAGTTTACATAAAGGTTTAGATAGTGATCAAATGATAATTTAAAAACAGTTTAATAAATGTATATTGAAATAACTTATTTATAAAGACATTCCTTATTAAATAAAGACAATGCTCAATCTTCAAATTAGATATGATTCATAACTAATTTGATTCATATCCAATTCATATTATGAATATGATATGAAATGCTTTGTGAAATTATTATTTTCTTTCTTTCTTTCGTACCTAATAATATATTTCTCTTTTTAATCACCGATTGACAACACATAACCACTCTTATTTTATTGACAACACATAACTACTCTTTTTTTTTTTTTTTTGATAACACATTACCATTCTTTTATTATCTCCATGATCTATTATCTGTTTATATTGAATTTTTTAAGGTTTCATTTTTACTTTTCCATTTCCATTTCTTTGTTTTAATTTTGTATGTGTTAACATGCGATTAGACTTGTCTCTAAAAATTACCTTGATTAGCTCTAACTTCTTTTTCTTATTTCTATTGTGTTTATAAATTTTTTTGTGTTTATACATTGCTTGGCAGCTTGAAGGTGTCATTGTTTTTTAGACAATTTTTAAATAGAATTAATGATCAAGTAATTAAACATTTGATTATCATAAAATACCTTAATTTGTTACAAAACAATTTTGTAAATATTTAAAACCAGGAAATTTTTTTCATTTTATACTATAGTTTTTGTTCCATTTTCTTCAACATTTTAAGTTATGCTTCATTATTCATGGCTTTATTATTGTTATTATTTTTTCTTTATACTATTATATTACTATATATATATATGTTTAACTCTAAATGATTTCTATAATTAATTTAGATATAACAAATGCTGCAACTTTTATAGAAAAGCAAGAAGAAGCATTAGCAGAACAGAAAGGTTCTTGTTTATTGTTATATATTTTTATATATTTATTTACTACTTTTTTAAACATTTTTTACTGTAATTTATTAATACATTCCATCATACATTACTATATATTGGACCCTAGGTGCACTACTTACTTCAAAAACATGATAGCATTTATGATGATGGAAATAAATTATTGAATAAAATTATATATATATATATATATATATATATATATATATATATATATATATATATATATATATATATATATATATATATATATATATATATATATATATATAATTATATATATATATAATATATAAAATTATATATATATAAATTATTGAATAAAATTATATATATATATAATTGAGCAGCCGTGGCGCAGTGGTAGCGCACTTGTCTCAGAAATGTAAGATCCATGGTTCGAACCCCACCTCTGGGCAAGTTTTGCGACATCGGTTGGAAAGGAGGCTTGAACTTCCTATTAAATGCTCCTCCGCGGTGCTCTGTGATAAGACCGTAAGGACTTCTTGGGGCACCTTAATCAACTTAAAAAAATATATTTTTTCAATATAATTAGTGATCTTATATATTTAGTGACCACATTATATATTTAGTGACCACGGATCTTACATTTCTGAGACAAGTGCGCTACCACTGCGCCACGGCTGCTCAATTATATATATATATATAATTTTATTCAATAATTTATATATATATATAATTTTATATATTATATATATATATATATAATTATATATATATATATATATATAATTTTATTCAATAATTTATTTCCATCATCATAAATGCTATCATGTTTTTGAAGTAAGTAGTGCACCTAGGGTCCAATATATAGTAATGTATGATGGAATGTATTAATAAATTACAGTAAAAAATGTTTAAAAATGTCAAATTTTGAGAAGCTTATTTTTTTGTTGTTTTGGTAAAGATATATAGTAGGTAAAAAGATTATGGTCGGGCAATATGAAGTCTCCCTCATACCCATTTTCAAAACTTGACAGCTCTGAGTATGTGTGTGTGTATGTGTATATATATATATATATATATATATATATATATATATATATATATATATATATATATATATATATATATATATATATATATATATACACACACACACATACATATATGGTTTATAAAATATATTTTCAGCTGAAGACAATAAAAAAATGGTAACAGTAATGGAGGGTGATATTATTAGAACAGATCACGAAAATGCAATTATAGCAAATGATACGAATAAACGAAATTTACGTAATTATGAAAAATGGGGTTTATTGGTTCCTTATCAGTTACCACAAACAATAAAAGGAGGTTGAAATATTTGTATATTAAAATATAATTGTTTAATTATTATTGTTATTTTTTAAATTATTATTTTTATTTATGCTCCTTATGTTATTGGTAAATTTCTTGATAATGCATTTAGAGCATTATAATTCAATCTTTCTCTATTAATATATATATCAACACATTGTAAATGTTTTGCTGCATGTTTGTGTTGATTATAATACATTTGCATAAACAATATTTGTTTATGTTTTTAGTGAAATATAGAAGAGTTATTGTAATAAAAATTTTCAAGAAAGAATTAAACATTTTAAGAGGGAATAAAAGTTATTTCCGCTTATGCACAATAATGTTTTCTTAGCTGAGGTTTTTTTTAATCTGCCTAAGTTTGAATTATGAAAGTTTTTTATTTAAAAATTGTTTTTACAACTCTCTCCCAATCCTTTAAACTTCAAGGTTAAAGGATTGGATCAAATTTGGAAGTTCTTGCTTATGCTTTACCAATACACCATAAATCTACCATTGATTTCATTTGTTGCATTATTTAGAACTATACAATAAAGTTGCATAATAAAACTATAAGGTTGCGTAAAAATTTTATAAGTAGTTGATGAGTAAGTTAGTGAGTTAATGAGTAAGTGATATAAAAAGTGATAAAAATGACAGAAACAAGTATTGCAATATTTATTTTAATATAAAAAATTCATGCAGATGGAAGAATGCAGCGTGCAATAAATGAAGCGATGAAAGAACTTAGTGCGGTTAGCTGTATCAAGTTTATTAAAAGGAAAAGTGATGGGTCTTCTGAATATAATGTGGATCTTAATGGACAAACTGAACCCTACTTACAGTTTATTCAAGGATACGGGTTTGTTTTCTTTGGATTTCTATTTATAATTGTAAATAATTATCTGACATAAAGATAGAATAAATTTTTTTTTTTTTGTATTAAAATTTAACAAAATTCAGAACATTTAATTAGGTTTGTGTAGATCCATCTAAACAACACAAGTGCTTTATAAATTTAAAAAACAGTTAACAGTTTTAAATAAAAAAAAGTTTTGGTATAACCAGTGGTATTTGTTTTATGTAATTGATATAATTATAACATAATAAAACCATTGATATCAGCTTTATATGTGTTATGTATTTTATATAGCAACTAATTTTTGTCAGATTTATTTACATAATTTAGTTAAAAAATTTTTTTTACTTTTAGCTGTTATTCATATGTGGGGAAACAAGGTGGAAGTCAAGTAATTTCTATTGGTACTAATTGTGAATATAAAGGTATTTTAAGTTTTAAATTTAATTTTTTAATAATTACTTGAAATCTTTCTTATAAAATTTTTAAATAAATTCAAATTTTCAGGTACAGTGATGCATGAAATCTTACATGCACTTGGTTTTTATCATGAACAATCAAGACTTGATAGAGATGACTTTATTCGAGTAAAGTTTGAAAATGTAAGAAGTGGTATGGAAAATAACTTTCGGAAGTATGATGTTGGACAGGCAGATACTTTAGGATTTAAGTATGTCATTCAATGATAAAAAATATATAAACATTAGTTGACAAATTTTTATATGGTATAAGCATTAATTTATTTGTTGTATTAACATTTAATATATAAACATTAATGCATATTTTGTATATATTTAAAATATTCCACATTTATTAAAATCATAATTAACTATAATTAACTATATTCATTTATTATACGTATTACAGTTGGTAACAGTTGATTACAGTTGATTACAGTTGATTACAGTCAAATATTTTTATGTCAAATAACTAGAGTAATAAACTATTTTGTAATATTTCTATATCTATATCTATATTATCTAGCATAATTAACTACTTTGATGAGCATAATTAAATCTTTTGATATATCATTTTTAACATAATTACCTCCATGATAGTGTTCTTGAGCACATTTTTCTTCAGTTTTAAAAACTGAAAGTAAAAACTAATTTTTTTAATATAAAATAATTGATGATTTTATTTGTTTACAATATGCTTTTATGTGTATTAGTTATGATCTCGGCTCAATAATGCATTATGGTGAGAGCTTTTTTACAAAAAATGGACAAAGCACCATTGAAGTCCTTGGTAACAAACGTTCCATTGGTCAACGGCTTGCGCTTAGTGAAACAGACAAGATGAAGTTGAATAAGCTTTATGTATGTTTTGTAATTAAAATTTAATTTACACAAAATTATTTAACAAAGTAAACAAACGTTTTACTTGTTATTTGTTTTTATTTGTTATTGTTGTTTTATTAGTGTTCTCCACAATATCTAGAAGAGTATAAAAACCTTAAAGAGCAAAACTTTGAAAAAATGTAAGTTTACTTATTTTTTTCTGTACCTCTCAACTGTAACTAGTTCAACTGTAACTAGTTCAACAAGTTTCTTTAATTTTCTTTACCTCTCAACTGTAACTAGTTCAACAAGTTTCTTTAATTTTTTTAATGTATTTTTTTTTATTATTAGATCAAAAAATGTTTATGCACATTATTGATTCCGACAATTAATTTTGCTTAAAGATATTTAATAGTTTGCGTATTTAATTAAATTTATCTGTAAATTAAATTTTAATGTATTTTAATAAATTAAAACTATGAGATAGTTTTTCAAAAAATTTTTCTTGTGGTTATTGTATCTGTTTCCACGTTTTTTTGTTTTTAAATGATAATACCTGAATCCACGTGTTTTTTAATGAATGCCTGAATTCACTTTTTTTGTGTGTGATAATACCTGAAAAATTTTCTAACAAATTTATTGATAACTTTCAGTAAATGGTTGTTAAAAGAAACTATTATATAAAATTGTAGTAATTAATAATATTGTAGTAAAAAAAATAATTTATAAAATTGTTTTTGCAAAATAAAAGATTCATGATTTTTTTTTTTAATAAGAGGTTCATTATTTAGAATGTTTTCAATTGCACACATTTTGGGTAACAGTAGATGGCTGCCGTCTATACCCATCAACTTTTATTGTTCGGGGCTTCGAGTCTTTTCTGTACTTCATAACTTGTGATAAATTGCGTCGGTGTTGTTCATGCCACTTTCGTTCGCGCTTCACGGAAGTAGGTGTTCAACACAGACGCATGTCGATTCACGCATTGACGTTTAAATCAAGCATCAGACCTTGATCATTGCAAAAACACAGTGAAAGTCCTTATTTAAATTTTGACATATTGCCTCATCATCGACTCAACTTTTTCCTTTACTGCCTTATAAAACTCGTAATTTTTTCTTCTTCCTTTTTGCATGGTTTGATGTGTTGTGTTTTTAAGAATTTTGTGTGTAAAGCGTCCAACAGCTCACTATTTTGACCGCAGTATTTTTTTTGTTATTGATTAACTCTTGGTGACAATCAACTATTGGTGTTTTGGGTCGGAGGCTTCGGCAAAAGTAGTGTTCGTTGTTGATATATAACGCTTGCAAGCATTTTCTCGATTTCGAAACAAAAGTTGATTACAGTTGTTTATAGAGAGGCTATTGAATAAATTTTCTAGTCAAACGTTTCAATGAATGTTGATATTTCCGTGTATTCTGTTCTACTTCGTATATGGCGCATCCTCGAACTTAATGGACGTCCCTTTTCTACGTTTACGGTCATTAAAGTGCCCGTGATTAGGCATTGTGTTTGGTTTCATTTTTTAGCGCCTAATGGTGCTTACTCTTTAATGTTGACAAAACGATCCGGTTAATCAGTAGATCTAGAGTATTTTTGGCTTTGCATCGAGTATCGGAAAGTTATTATTTGTGATTATCTGCAAGACATGTATGAAAAACTGTGTCGCTAGGCCAATAAAAAAAGATTTATTTGGTTCTAATAGTTCAACAAACCTATAAAAAAAGTCACTACTTGAAAGCAATCTTTCTCTCAAGCTGAAAGATTGTCAAGTGACAAACCACTTGGTTTGTTAGCAAGATCCAATTGAATAATAAAATTTTTAAACTGTCAATGGTTTTTTGCATTTGATCTAAGTTTAAAAACAATTGGAAAATTAAAATGTTTTGCTGCCTAAAATGTTCTTGATGAATCATACAATGAGGTTTATCCCAGATAAACTCTGAATACGTAGGATCACTTTTTTTTAAGCCAACATTTTTTCCAACCATTGCTGGTGCACCATCTGTAGCAACGCCAACAAGCTTGTCCTTAGGGGCGTTGGCCTTTACCAGTACAGTGTCAAGGGTATCCTTTTAATTAGGGTTGACCACAACGTTTTTGATGAGGACCAAAGTTGGCTTTTTAGCTGTTTACTGGGGGCCGGAGGTTTGTAAAAATAATTTAATTTAAATAACCGATTCTTTTAATTTATTGATTGTAGTCTTGCAAATGAATTCCATGCTCACATATACTAGCTAGCTATCAGGTACTGGACAACTAATAATTTTAGCAATCATGATTCTCCCTTTATTTCACAACATTTTTAATGTTAATTTGCAACTGACTTGTTGCGATTCTTAAAATATTTTACAAGTTTTCTATTTAGTATTCGTCAATGATTGAAAATAATCTTGAAATAAGTTAAGTTCTTAATGGCCAGCAAAATGTTTTCTTCTGTTGTTCTGCCTTGCATAGGATAGACGTCAAGTAGCTTTTCAGTAACAAGATGATTTTTATTAATACCACGAATTAAAATATACAATTGAGCAGTTTGTGATATATCGGTTGATTCATCAATAGCTATTGAATAATACTGAAATGCCTATTGAATAATACTGAAATGCCTTCCAGTCAATGACAAGCGCAGATCATCAGCAATATCATCTTTTTTTAGTGTATTTGTTTGTCTTGAGAGTGAGATATTCAAAAGTTTGAATTTTTCAGGGTAAGTGAATTTGATCACAATTTTAAGAGATTTCTTAATAATTTCCCCATCACTGAATGGTTCACAATTTTTGGCCAAAAGAAGCTTCACTTCATAGCTTGGAACTTGGAACAAGTCTTGTTGTCAAACTAACTTGTGTTTTAATTTTTTTGCTTTTTCTTTCCGTATTTTGTTGACAAACTGTGTATAAGTTTTTGAATGTTTTGAATTATAGTGCATCCTTAAAATATATTTTTTGCTCACTGAAACAGATTCAATCCATATTAAAAATACTGGCAACGTTGTTTGCCATTCTTTGTGTATTTTTTGTTGTTTGAAGAAGATGCCATTTTGGCTAAATTTGCAAACTTTAAATAATTACGAATAAATTTTCAATTTTTTTTTAGAGAATTGTGAATGTTTTATAAAAAATTTGTAAACTTTACATTTCTTTGTAAATGAATCACTGTTGGTTATATTATTAATAAAAATTTATATAACTAAAGTGCCGTACAAATAGTTGCAAAGGGCCGGATGCGTCCCTCCCCTTGCTTTGAATCAATTCCACGAATTGTGTCTTTTAGCTCCACCTAAATCTAGCAACTCTTCTTTCACAAGTACATCTGATGTAACATATCTAACAAATTTATCTTGTTAGATATGTAAATTTACATATCTTGGGAACTTATCTTGAATATCTGTTCAAGATAAACTTTTGTTAAACAATTGTTAAGCATTCAGTTTAGCATTAGATGAATCTGTTAATTCGTCCAATGCTAAACTGAATGCTTTATAATTTTTAAGTCAATTAATATATGCTGTTCAACTTCGACACTAGTCTCAAATATTCTTTTTTCAGTTGTATGTCGAGAAACAGAAATGTTTTAAATTAACCTTTTAAATTTTGCTATTATTAGGATTTAAAGCTGAGATCACATCTAAAAGATTTTGTTTTACAAACTCTCCGGTGTGAGATGTTTACTTCTTGCAATATTCCAACCTATAATAAAACTTGCTTCTGTTGTAATATTTGAATCTTTGCTGGAAGATGAAATATTTTTCTGTTGATTTTTAAATATTGTTTGAGCAATTCAATTTTATATTTTCTATGACATAAATATGTTGGGTCTTTCTCAGAAAAATACAAATGTTTTGTTTTAGAGTGGTGTTTAACATTACATGTTTTATTATGTCCAAGGTCAGTATTGCAAATTAAACACCTAGGTTTATTTTCCATGAAGATCCAAGAAGATTCAGTTTGTAACAAATTTACTGGAAGGCTTATTGGTTTTGTTGCTTCCGGCGATAAAGAAATAAATGTTCTACTTTAAAAATGTAAAAGAGTTGGTTACTCAAACTCTTTTGCTTCTTGTAAAAAGCATTGTTAATCATTTGTCATTCAGTTAGTCAGTTTTGCAATCACTGGAACTATATTATTTCAGCTATTTTTGGAAAAGCTGTAGGTCACCTTGAAAGTATGAATTTAAAGGTTATTTCCGCAACAGAAGATAGTGCCTGTCTTTTTTTTTTTAAATGCATAAGAACATAAATATGAATTTATTTAATGATTTAGTTTACAGAGCACAGAATATTTACTCAAACGAAAACATATACTTTTTTTCAGATGCTTCCCACTTGATTAAAAAAGCTTGTAACTACATTGTAAATTCTGGTTCTGGACAAGGAATTCGCTATATGTGGAACAATGGTCTGTACCTACCTTGGTGTCGTATTTCACAATTTTATAATGAGGACTTAGAATGTGGATTTAAGATTTGTAAATAAACTCACAAGTATTTACATTATTTTAACACCATATTCATTAATGCAATATTTGAAACATTTGGTAAAGTTTTAAAAAGAAGTTGGTCCTCCTGAATGTGATAAAACTGCTCAATTTTGTTTTATGATGTATATACTTTTTGGCTGTTTGAATCTTTAAAGTATAAATCAAAAATTTCAAAGAAAGTCTAAAACCATTTGAATCTGTTAATTATGTACGTTTGAATGGCTTTAAAGTTTTTTTTGCGAATGGCTTTAAATTTTCTTTGCGTTGTAGGAAATGTTGATCATATAAGTTAGTATTAACAATTAGCATCGGTTAGCCGTCGCTAATTGTTCATATTTAAAATAGATGTAATAACTGACTTCTAATAATAGTAACAAGTGAAATAGCAATTGTAGAAAGTAGTTATTAAAGTTGAAAGTTCAGTTTGCAATTTCACTTTTGAAACTCGAAATAAATGCTCGCAATTTTTTTTTATGCAACTTTGTGGTCTTTGAAAAGATCCTCTAATCCCTAACCACCCGCACCCCAAGAGGGCATTGTTTCTAGAAGAATTTTTTTTTTTTAGAAACCATGCCCTCAAGTTTTTCAGATTTTTTTGTGTTATTTTAAACTAGAATCAATACATTTGCCTAACATCTGTAAATAAATTGCTAAATTCATTGACAGATTTAATTAAAAAAAAAAAAAGTTCTCGTTTAAAAGTTACGACCATTTGAAGTTATTTCAGGGGGTTAATGAAAAAAATTTTAAACTTCTTATGGTCAAAAATCTTGAACGAAGAGACGTAGGAGGATGGATTACGGAAGGAATAAAAAAATCATTTAAGAAAAAACAAAAATTATACAGCAAGTATTTAAAAAACACGAATCAATTAAATCTTACGATTTATAAACAATATAAAAATCTTTTTAAAAAAATTAAAAAAAAAAATCTAAAAGTTTATAAGTTTATGAAAAATACTCTTTTTAAAAAAAATTAAAATACTATTTTTTAATTAAAAATTAAATTAAATTAAAACGTATACAAATAAATTAAAGTTAAACCTTACATTTTTACAATTTAAACAATTTACAACACAATTTAAACAACTTACAATAAAATTTACAAGTTAAAACTTATTTACAATTTACAATATCTACCATCTTATTTTATTCGTTAATTTTCTATTTTAATTATTAAATTTGTAAAAAGAATATTTTTAAATGTTTCTAAATTGATTTATTAATAATAATTAAAAAACCACTGCATTTTCAGTTGAATGTTTCTTTTTGAAGCCATATTATTTAGTTTACTTTTGTAAACTTTGTCCTCATGAAAATGATAAAGAGTTATTCATATGAAATCATATCGTGATTTTACCTTTGTTAACTCTTGCAGCTGTCTCTTAAATTTGTTGACATTTTAAATAAAAAATGGACAATCTAGTTAATTGGTTCGTTTCTAGGACGAGTTTCAAATATTTTGATAAAAAGTTGCAAGGTTTTTCTAACTGCATTTTTAACAAGTGGTAACTTATACTTTATTTATAACGAAAAATATATCTCATAGTATTTTGAACAAATTTTCATTAACAAATTTTGTTTCAAAAAAGATAGTCACTTTTTAAAACATCGTTGCTGCAATTTTAATATATATATATATATATACATGTATATATATATATATATATATATATATATATATATATATATATATATATATATATATATATATATATATATATATATATATATATATATATACAGTGGCGGATTAAGACTTCTTGGGGCCCAGGGCTATTTTTTTTTATGGGCCTTTTTATGGGCCAGAGCCTGAAAATGACTAAAAAAAAAAGTTCCTCTAAAATTTTGGGGGCCCTAAATTTGCAGGGCCTGGGGCTATAGCCCCCCTAGCCCGCCTTGATCCAGCACTGCATATATATATATATATATATATATATATATATATATATATATATATATATATATATATATATATATATATATATATATATACTTTGTTTAGCTAATGAAGACTAACATCTGCTGATGTTGTCCTTTTTATTGAAATTTCACAAATACGGCATTTATCCATTATTTAAAACAAATGTTATATAACGTTTGTTTAACTAATGGATAAGTTTTATATAATATTTGTTAACTAATGTTAACTAATGGATAAATTAATAAATGTTGTATTTGTGAAATTTCAAGAAAAAGTCTAACTTTAGCTCATGACGCTTGATCAGAAATGAATGGGATAAAACAACATCTACTCTAATATTAATTAGTTCTAATGAAAACATATTGAAGAATGTAATGTATTTATTTCTATTTATTCCTAATGCAATTAATTTTAACCCATTTTTTACAAGCCAATCTTTTTCAAAAATTAGATTTGCACAAATGACACAATACTAAAATTGAGATATGTTCGGGCATCAATAATTTAATTTTTTTATTACGAATTCCATTCATTACGCGTTTTCTAAAACATTTGACTTTTTTTTCATCTTTTACAAATTTAAACCACAATAGATACAAACCTTTTCCAGACGCACTTTAAAAAAATAAAAATGATAAAACTGTCTTAAACCATGAGCCATCAAACCATCATCAAGATATTTTAGATATAAAAGCACTTTAAAATTTTTATTGTCAAATTTGTAGACAAATAGCGTAAAACGAGGTTAGTTTGGAAAATGAGGGCTCATCTTAAAATCAAAACAAAATTTTATTCAAACAGCAATTCTGACACGTATTTATATTTTACATTTAACTTATATAAAAAGCATTGAATAAAAAATTGTTTTACTTAACTACGTATCGTTTCATAGAGGTTTTTATATCAATTATTTGAGTATTTCTTCGTAAAACTACTAGCTATGTGAAAACTAAGGAAATTTATTATCTTTTTATTAAGTAGACTTTTTATCTTATTATTAAGGAGATTTAATATCATGTTATTAAGGAGATTTATTATCATATTATTAAGATTTATTATCTTACTATTAACAATTTATGTAGCTAACATATTTTGTTTGAAAATTTTTTTTTGGAATATCTTTGAATGGTATTCAAACTAATCCAACTACATAAGTTGTTAGAAACATTAAAAAAAATTTTAAAAAGTTGATGGAGTTTTAAAACTCCATTAACTTTTAGGCGTGTAGTATTAGGTACTAGATATTATTTTAAAACTCCATCAGCTTTTGGGTATGTGGCATTAGGCACTGGCTATTTTGGGTGAGTAGTATTAGATATGTGAATTCCGTACCTCATAAAAAAAAAATTAAATTTCAGAAAAAAACTTATTTTTTAAACTTAGTATTCCTTAGATGTAGTAAGTTACTTAAATTTCGTAACTTTTCTGAAAGTGACAATGTTTGAAATGAAATATTTAAATTTCTTTCATTATTTTAGAAGAAGAGTAAAATTTGTAAAGAAGAGCAAAGTTACAAAGTTAAACCTTTTAGGTTGCAAAGTTACAAAGTTAAACCTTTTAGGTTGCAATCAACAGTGGCGTAGGAAGGTTTTTAAACGTTTGAAATAACCAACTTTTAAACAAAAAGAACATTCGAAATTTTTTTACGTTCATATGCATGACGAAAAGATTTTCATAAAAAAATTACTGTGAACGGAGAATGGGAACAAGAAATCCTAAAATCTTATCTCCCTGTCCCAAACGTGAGAGCAACAAATTGATGAAATATTTTTGCTTTCACGTGTGGGGCAGGAGGGGGGGCCTAAGATTTTAGGTTTTTTTGTTCCCATTCTCCTACCACAGAAACTATTTTTAAAAAGAATATCTTCGTTATACATATGAATGTTAAAAAATTTCGAATGTTTTTTTTGTTTAAAAGTTGGTTATTTAAAACATTTAAAAACCTTCCTACATAACTGGCAGTTAATAATTTAATTTTTTGGTAATGGAAAATTGTGTCGAATTAGTTATTGAATCTGATTTTACTGTTGTGATATTATAGCCAACCTTTTACTGTGACATTTTCTGTGATTAATATAAATACTAAGATATACTAAGATATATTAAATTATCTTAAGTTATGCTAAGTATGCTAAAACATGCAAAGCTGTATATAAGTATTATTAAAATTGTTTTTCTAGTTAATTTTTAAAGCTCCATAGTGCCACAAGTGTTGCTCGTATCTCTTTAATAATCATGGTGGCAAGGAATAATCATTATTTAAAATTTTTAGCCCTAAACCTATTTTCAAATAGTTTTTAAAATTAATATAATTTGATATGATAAAACATAATACAATATAAAATTTCTAAAAAAATTAAATTTACAATTTAAGAGCAAACTTAATTTAGATAAAACATGAATCCCTATTTCTTTTCATCAACCATTTGTAGTTTTCTTATGAAGTTTAGATAAAAATTAGCTGGTTGCCGTGCCACATACAGCGAAACGTAAAAACTTATTGTCAACTTTAAAGTTAATTATTATCACGGAACCAGCAGCACAATGACCAGCATAATGGATGAATCATAACGTTTAAATTAATGCTATAGAGTTTAAACATATAAAAAGATTTTTTTGATATATAACGGAATCCAATATTAATAAACTATATTTAATTGTTTGAATGAATGCTTTATGAAGATCATTCAAAATAACGTGTGGTGTATTGTAATCGATTCTGAATTAACCAAGGATTTCAAAAATTCTTTATTTATTTAAGTTTTTTAGAATTCAGAAGAATTTTGATAATAACGAGTAAAAATAACAATTTAATAAAAAAAATGAAATTAATAGTTTAATATGATGGATTTAGATTTCAATACTTTAATGGCAGCATGTTATTGAGAAAGTAGAAAAAATTAACAGGAGTTTTAAAACTGTTTAAAAAAAGTTAGACTTAATGTTAAAGGCTTATGTCTTAAATATATAACTAAACTGCAAAAATAAAATTTTTGGGTAAAATGTAATTTTCCTAAAACAGCAATTGAATTTTAAAGATTAAATTAAAAAGTATCATTTTGTCCAAGACTATGTTTCTTTAAATTTGCAAAGTTTTGTAATTTGAATTTAGGTTCTGAAATTAAATAATTTCTTTTCAGTGACTTCTTTTTCAGTTGTTAAAAAAAGATACGGGCAACTAAAATGGTAATTTATTTTGAACTTGTTTTAACTGCATCCATTTTTTGTTACGTGGGTGCGATTCCCATAAAAGAAAATTTTAAAGATATTGAAAATGTTAATAAGCCATTAGTAAAAGATATAGCGAAAGTGACGACAGAAGAATATGGGGACGAAATAATAAAATACATTAAACAGATGGTTGACAACGTGGTTAAAAAAACAAGTAACTTTTTATTTATTTTTTTATTTTCAATATTTTATTTTATTGTTTTGGTATCTTTTTTAATCCATTATTTCTAAAAGGAATCAATCGGCTATTGGAATAGTAGTTTTTAAAATAGATTTAGAAAAAAATAATAATAATACAGACTTTTTTTTATTTTCAAACTTATAACAGCAATGAGAAGCCATCTCAATGTGAGTTCTGGCTCAAAACCAAGAAGTTTGTGGTTTGATGCCAGCTTTGGACAAATAAGCAACATTTGTATGGAAAAAAATATATTGGTAAGGAAGAAGGCGCGAACTTCCCTGTTAAATACTCTTCCGCAGTGCTTTTTGATCGTAAGGATTTTCTTGGAGCACTTTTTTTTTTTTTAGTCTATTTAGGTGCTCCCAGAAGTTCTTACGGTCTTATCAAAAAGCTCCGCGGGAGAGCAATTAACTAGAAGTTCACGCCTCCTTCCTTACCAATGCCACTTATCGGGCTAGAGCCGGCATTGAACCTCGTTGAACTTAGAGCAGGCATTGAACCGACGTTGAACTTAGAGTTTTGACTCAGAACCTCTGGGTTCTGAGCCAAAACTCTAACTATTGCGCAACGGCTACTCTAAAATACCTTTAATACTAATATCGGAGAAAATCAAGTAATTGAGGTGCATTTTTTTCGCAGCATCACCAAAAAAAAGAAAACAAAAAACAAAAACAAAAAACGCCAAATAAATAAACCTGACAATAAGTTTTAATTTCAAAGTGCTTAGCTTAAATGAAAAAAAGTTATCTAACGTACAAATACAATACTGAAATAAATCATAAACTTTGATTAAAGCAGACATGTAAATCTGGTGCCTAATGCATGCTCTTTATAGTTACTTGTCTTGCTATCTTTTATTATAATAGTATTTTATCAAGATTAAATACTTCATAATTTAGGACATAAATGCTGTTGTAGGTAATTTTATAATAAAAGAGACAAAAAAGTATTTTATTGCAGCTGTTATTTCTTTTTTGTGGAGTATGGGTGTAGTTTCTATGGGTATGTTACTTTTTTGAGAGTTTAATGTCTGAACATATTTAGGCGGTAGATAGTCTTTATTTTTCATCATTTTTAAAGTTTTCCAATTGACGAATAACTGCTGCTTTATAACTGTCCCGTTTTGCCCCACCCACTTGCAAAATGTAAAAATTTTGCTAGTCTAAGAGATTCGTTACTTTGGTTGTCATGACTTATTTTTAGAAATTTTTAATTTTATTTTATTTTCTTTTATCAATGAATTTTAGGAAATTTATGAAAAACAGTGTTAACTATGATTAGTTTATTCGCAACTAACATTTGTTTCTTAAGTGTCCTACTCGCTAACGTTTTCTTTGACTTGATTATAGCAAAGTGTCATTTAAAATTTTTTCCGCGTCTATTGTTTATTTTACTCTTTTTGTTATTTTTTTTTAAACAAAATAAAATAAAAATAAAAGTAAAAAAAATATTTAGTTTTAACAGTAAAAATTATTGAATTGATGAGTTTGGTAATCTATATTTTCATAAAAATATTAAGTTTTAACAGTAAAAATTATTGAATTGATGAGTTTGGTAATCTATATTTTCATAAAAATATTAAGTTTTAACAGTAAAAATTATTGAATTGATGAATTTGATAATCTATATTTTCATAAAAAAGGAAAGTGCTTTAATGTGAAAAAAATTTTTTTTTCACATTACAGCTCCACTGACGTCGGCAAACCGAATAGGGTGATAAATCAATTTTTATAACTTAATAGAGATGAAATGGCAAAATAATGTTAAATGTTGAAAAAAGAACTAAGAAAGTATTGCAAGTTATTTGGCTCCATGAGCAAAAGGTGGAGTGAAAATGATATTTTTCACCAATACAACTTTTCTTAATATTAGGTACGTTTGAATTATCCATTATTATTATGACCAAAATAATCACTTTTGTATACAAAAAGTTATTTAAATTTTTTTAAAACACATTTAAAAGAAAAATATTTTAATTAAAAAATTGAATATTGGACATAAAGTTTATTAAAATACATGATCTACTCGAAGTTTTAATAAAAACCATATTTTTAAATGTTAGTAAGAATATTTTGTTTGAAAATTATAGTAGTATTAATAATTAAATAACAAAGTCGCTATAATGTATAATATATTTATTAGGAATATTAGCTAATCAAGTATGGTTTTTGTTGACATGTTATGTTTTTATATAGAGTTTAATACTTTGTTATGTTTACTTATACTATGATAATACTATAGTTTACTAAAACTTTGTTAAATATATTTCAGTAAATAGAATGTCAAGATCTGAAACAGATCATCCATTCTTTGGGTTTTTTTAGCCGCTCTCTGAGGTGCAACTGCCACCTCAATGCGGCATATGATGTATTTGCGAAAAAGTGTAAGCAATCTTTACTACGTATCATTTTTTCAAACAACATTAATGTTAAATATATAATATAATTTTACAGAAACTTCCTGGAAAAACCAACAAAACGAGTTTATAACATATTTGGAAAAACCAACAAAACGAGTTTATAACATATTTGGAAAAACCAACAAAACGAGTTTATAACATATTTGGAAAAACCAACAAAACGAGTTTATAACATATTTGGAAAAACCAACAAAACGAGTTTATAACATATTTGGAAAAACCAACAAAACGAGTTTATAACATATTTGAAACTTCCTGGAAAAACCAACAAAACGAGTTTATAACATATTTGGAAAAACCAACAAAACGAGTTTATAACATATTTGGAAAAACCAACAAAACGAGTTTATAACATATTTGGAAAAACCAACAAAACGAGTTTATAACATATTTGAAACTTCCTGGAAAAACCAACAAAACGAGTTTATAACATATTTGGAAAAACCAACAAAACGAGTTTATAACATATTTGAAACTTCCTGGAAAAACCAACAAAACGAGTTTATAACATATTTGGAAAAACCAACAAAACGAGTTTATAACATATTTGGAAAAACCAACAAAACGAGTTTATAACATATTTGGAAAAACCAACAAAACGAGTTTATAACATATTTGGAAAAACCAACAAAACGAGTTTATAACATATTTGGAAAAACCAACAAAACGAGTTTATAACATATTTGCGTAGAGCAAAAAGCTGCCAAAAGTTCCAATTACTAAAAGAGAAAATAAAAAAAAATAAAGAACTTTCAGTTCTATAAGGACAAACTAGCAAAACTGTTTGATATATCTGCTTGCCAATGCAAAGATCTGAAATAATGCTGCTGTGCCAAAGTTAATATGGTACCAGCTATGGAGCACACTTTTCTGCAAGTTCAAAGGAGTGAACGTAAAATGGGTATTGGATCAGTTGACAAAAAAGTAATAACAAAACTGCAGAATACCCAAAGCAAATAGAGCTCAACCCTTAATGATGAAAAGCTACTAGATTCTATTATATCTACCACATCCAGTACTTTAAAACGGTCTGATATAGAAGAAAACACTCCGGAGCAAGATAAGACGTGAGCGCATGAAAGCCAGGGATAACTTGAAAGTTAATGAAGACAAAGTGAAGGCGTTGTGTTTTGATGGCAAAAAAGACCAAGTCCTTAAATATTATAATAATAAGAAAACCATAGTGATGGAAGAGCACATATCCTTGATTCAGGAGCCTGGAATGGGCATTTTTAGACACTGTACTCCTCTTAGCGAAACAGCTAAGGCTATAAAATCTCAAAAAAAAAATTCTAAAGTACTCTAAAATACACAATATCATTTTATATGATTTACAAGTGCTTGGGTGTGATAGAACAAATCTAACCGCTGAAAACAAAGGCAGTGTGACTAGATTAATTGAGTTAGAACTCTAAAGGCCTCTACAATTGGTAACTTGTTTGTTATATGCAAATAAACTTCCACTACGTCATTTGTTTTCAGAATTGAATGGACCAACATCTGGTCCAAGATACTATTCAGGTTCTATTCAAAAGTCCCTTAAAACTTGTGAGATCTTAAAGATTGTTAATTTTCAACCTATAAACCATAATGTAGAAATGCCAGAAGTGGACAGAAAATGCTCAGTACAGATCAGCTTTTTGACATCTGCCAAGTTGTACTAAGGGGCACTTGTTCTGTCAATCCGGAAAAACGCAAACCTTTAAAACTGGCTCATTACTGTCAACAGGATCCTCAGATTATACATTTCTACCACCAGTACTTCATCAAGTTTAGTAACTATTGCAACATAAATTATGCGCGTTTATGTCCCTATATGGTTCATCATCAAGAAGGAGTCTTCTACTTATCAGGGCAGGAGGCATCTATGCAGCACAATAGTCAAATCACGGTATCTGCGTGATGAAGGTAGTAGACAGAGCTATTTAAACAAACGCATTCTTTGGTCATCTAGAAAATATTCTTCTGGAAATGATATCAGATGAGCAGCCACAAATCCAAAAATTAGTTGTTAGGCGTATACAGAGAGCTAGAGAAGAAAGAAGTGTGAATGCTAATGAAACTTGTGTGCAGCAATTCAAAGTTTCGACTCTCAATTTTATGGCAAAGAATACATAGGAGTTGATTGGAGTAATAAATAACGGACAGAGCCACTAACAATGCAGCTCACTGGAGCTGAAAGAAGCAAAAGAGAATTCAGCTAAGTAATTATTTTAAAAAGTTACCGAGTCACACGCAAGCTGTAGAACGTTGTGTAAAGGTGGTGACAGCTGTTTCTGCCTCGGTTTGCGGCGAAATAAAAAGATGCTATGATACGTGTTCTCCTGCAACTAAGAAGAAGTATGTCAATATTTAACACCAAGGCACATTTTTATACTGTTTAGTAACATTTTTGCTTTTTGTATGTTAATATTATGTAATAAATTCACCTGTTCAATTCCTTTAAAATAGAATTTTGATAAACTAGAAAAAATGATTTCGAAAGGAAGAATACTATAAATCAATTTTTGGAATAAAAAATTTAAAATATGGAAAATTCTAAACATTTTTCTTG